CCTGAAGGAGGTGGGTAAACTCCATGTTATCTCTAGCCTTGAAAAGTTCTTTGAAGAACCCTACAGACAAACCCTTCAGCCCTACCTCATCTTCCACCCAATTCCCCTCTTCATTTTTAAGGCGAAGAATTTTGTTTCTATGCTTTCTGTGAATCGTGCTCGAATGGAAGAAGGAAGTGTTTTGATCCCCTTTTTGAAGCCACGCAACTCTAGAACACTGACTCCAAAATGCTTCCTCCTCAATCCAGATTCTGGTCAATTCCGCTGTAAGGATCTTCTCCTCCTCTACATTCTCTGGAATACGTGGGGGTTGCTGGAGAGTCTCAAGTCTGGCCACAATTTCACTCTCCCTAAGAATACTATTCTTATGGAAATCTTTCGCCCATTCCTTCAGTTCTCTCTTGCATTTGTTTAGCTGATTGCTAGATAGCCCTCCTGGCTCCCATTCCCTGCAAACAATCTCTTTGCATCCCTCTTTTTCCAGCCATCTCTCGTCCACTCTGAATGGTGTTCTTCTTCTTCTGTTTTCTTTATAGTGGAGATCAATTCTGAGTGGGCAATGGTCAGAAGCCACCATCTTTTCATGTAAAACTACCGCTTCTCCAAACATCACTCTCCAATTTGGTGAGCACAACACTCGATCCAATCTGACTCTAACCAAATTTGGGCTAGAGCGTTTATTGGACCAAGTAAAAGGGGTGCCTTTAAAACCAATGTCTACTAGGGCATTGTCAAAGATGAACCTTTTGAAAGGTTCCACATTCTCTTACCTAAGAGGGCACCTCCTTTCCTTTTCATATACATACATAGCAGCATTAAAATCTCCTACAATGACCCAACTATCATCTCTACTACTCCGAAGAGAGCTTAAATGCTCCCAAAACTCCCTTCTACCAACTACCGTAGTCGGGGCATGGACAAAAGTACAAAAGAACTTCTTCCCCATGTCGATGCTAACATCCATATAGTACTTATCACTACTGATTACATTAATACTAATACCCTCTTTCCACCACAACGCAAAGCCCCTTGAGGAATTGATCGGTTCAACATACTCCTTATTGGGGAAAACTCTAAGACTTCTTCTATGTTCTTCCATGAATTCTTCGTTTTTGCTAGTTTCCATAAGGAAGACAATAGAAGGGCCATGACGTCGGATAAGACGTTTAGTATAACTTCTCGTAAGGGATTGGCCAAATCCCCTACAGTTCCAACTTACAATACTCATGGATCGAGAGGTGGCTTTTGGCGAACCACCGTTGCCCTTGTGTCATTTTCTTCTCCATCCCCTATGCCTTCACTTGTCGATTGAGCTTTGTTCTTTTGGTGCTTCTTCTTCTTACTTCTTCCTTTCATTCCTCCTGCAAATATAGAGTTAGATGGGCTCAAGCTAAACCCAGACCCCTCATTACCCCCCTGGCCCGATTCTTCTGGGCTTAGGATAGAGAGGCCCTTTCTTTTCTTAATCTTGCGGCTCATATCCCCTTCAAGCTCCCCTTGGATATGCTGGTAAGTACTCTGGGCCATTGTGTTGACCAGCCTGGGCTCTACCTCCTCTCTTGGACCGGTCTGTGAGGCTGATTTACCAGGCCCAAGTGACAATTGGGCTCCCATTTCCGCCCTCCTCTCTGTCATACGCTGCGCCCCTTCCCCTTCGTCAAGATTCAGCCTCCCCTGAATAGCCGCCGCTGCATCCTCCAAATCTCTTGACAAATCCCTTGCCCCCATTCCCAGTCTGTACTTCCCCTTCATCCTCCCCCGATTATTCCCTTCTTCAGCTCTAGCCTCCTCCTCCAACCGACGTACAGTGAAGCCCGGCGGGATTTGGGGATGAACTTCTTCTTCACTTCTTGCCGACGAGCGCTCTGCCGACCCCATCTTCTCCCTGCCATCAATTAATCCGCCCGAACTGTAATGGTCCCTCCATGCTTCAGGGTCGGTGGATGGGTACCATGGCTCTTCCTCTCCAACCCGGCTTCTGCTTCCACTCGATCTGTAGGGGGACTCAATTCCCGCCTTCAGCTCGGCAGTGTAGATTTCCGAGAGCTGCACATGCCCTCCTTTCTTCCTTTCTTCCTTCATCCTAGCACAGGTCGGCCAGTTGTGGCCAATTCTGCCGCAGAAATAACACAGCTCGACCAACCTTTCATACTTGAAAGAGATTACTTCACAGATCTCTTGGCCCGTGGCTTCAACCGTGGATGGAAAATCAAATCCCGTCGGTACCGGCTCTCGGAGATCGACCTCAGCCAACATCCGAATGAACCTTCTATACCCATTGAAATGGAGACTAGCTCTGTCCAAATCAATGAACTTGTTGAAATAGAATGTACCGATGGAGACTATGTTCTGTTCGCATCTCTGGCTTTGGTGTAGCCCATGGATCTGCACCCAAACCGCCAGCTTGTTCATCGGGGCAGCTTCTGGTTCTCCTCTTCCCTCGTACTTCTCCAAAGCTGTCATTGTGTTTGATAGACTCCATGGCCTTTCACGCCAGATCCTCTCTCGTGTTTGGGCATCCTTGAAGGTGAAGATGAATAGATTCTGAGCTTGGGTTGGTTGGACTCCAACTTCTCCATATCTCCCCCAGGCGTAACGTGCAGCTCCCGCTGCCTTCGCCAAGGCAATCTTGTTCTCACTCAACATCTTCCCTAACAGCATTGAAATGCCTCGGCCAGCGTTGGAGATGAGTTGGGGCCGGTTACCTCTGCCACCAGACGAAGACGGGCTGCTTCTTTCTGTGCTTAGGCGCCCTGCTCTTTCAGCTAAATCGTTGATATCCATTTCGACCAGTTCTCTTCTGGATATGAGGTGACTCTGTTTTGGGAGGACTCTGGGGGGGGGGGAACAGAGCACACGTGATAAGAGAGTTCAGGTTCAGTTTTTGGCTAAAATTGGTATACTGCAGGGGAATCGAGAGGTGAAAGAGGAAGTTGAGGTTAGGGTGTCTTTTGGGGCTGGGTAAAGAGAATGGGGAGTTAGGGGAGGTTCTTTGTTCTGGGGATCTATTGAAAGAAGGCAGAGCTGTCGAGGGGCTTGAGAAGAATTCTCCAATCGATCTATCAACTGTGAGCTTATAACTGCTTCTTCCTTCCCTCTTAATAGCTCTCCATCTTGGCAGAGAGGCATTAAAACCCCTTTCTTTGTGGTAGCTATCCTTCTTTTCACTTGTTCCATCATCTTTATTGAAGCTTCTGGTCACAAGGACGAGCTCTGCCTCACCATTAACTCTGGCTCTTGGCTCAACAAAATCTCCCCAAAGTACAGAGAAAGGAGAAGCTGGATTGCTCTGTTGATTGTGTTTAAATCTGCCCTGTTTTCTTCTATTCTTGACAGGGGCTCTTGGCTCAATGGATTCCCTTCTCTGTACTCGAATAGTGTAACATTGCTTGTAGAGCAGATTTTGGGACCCTCCTCCTTCTTCATCCCTTCTGTTCTTCTTCTTCGTCTGACAGGCCAACCCAAAACACCACCAGTCCGGTGGTTTCCAAACGACCCCTTTCTTTATATTAGAAGCAGAGTACCCCCTGAGTTGTCTAGTCTCATTCCGATTTATTGTTCCTAGATCACAGCAGTCTCCTTCCCCCTCTAGATTGATTCTATCCTGTGAAAAATCTTTGCAAACATCTGTGTGAATCTCTAGTAGCCTCTCTGTTAGAGCTGGAATAGTCCCACCCAAGGGGACGGAAAGAGAACCGTTAGAAGGTTCAGAGAATACGACCGTTAGAGAGAGAGAAGAGAGAGACATTTTTTCCTCACACTCTTTCTTTCGACAATACGTAGTTCAGTGGCATGGCTGAGAGTGGCCGCCGTCAGATTGTGACTAGCCCAGTGGCCGTTATGGTTACACGTCGGAGATGGTGACGATAATGACGGCGGATTCAAGGAGAAGGGCGAGGAGGATGGACTAGCGGTGGGTAATTCGCCGGAAAAAGGTTGGAGGCGAGGCAGGGGAAAAGAAGTGATTCAACATGTCTGGGACCAAAGAACAAGGCTGGGGTGGCAAATATATTTTATTTTATTAGGTCTGTTAGTTAACTTGACAGAAAAATGGAAGGATGCCAAATTTAAAGATATAAGACTAACTCCAACCCTAGAGCTAAAAAGTCATTTACTCATTTTTAGCTCTTTTTTGTGCTCCAACCCACATTATTTTGGGAGCTAAAAATGGGTATTGGTCAATTGGGAGCCAAATTTAGCTTCCAAAAGGGTAGAAAAGCCAAATTTAGCTAGAGCAAATGGTGGACCCGCGGCGTGTCCTCCTTTATTTTTTTGTTTTTTGTTTTTTGTTTGGGATTTTCTCATTGGTTGATTGTGTTGTTTTTCTTTTTGCTTTTTTTGTGTGGTATTTTATCAGTTGATTGTGTATGTTGTTTGTTTAATTATTTGGAAGAAGATACGAAATGTTGTATGTTTAATTGGTATTTTCTCATTGGTCACGAAGTTAACGGTAACAAAATAATGACTAATTTTCCGAAACTTTTTTGTCTCGGAATTTTAAAAAAATTACATCGAAAATTTTGTTCTCAAAAGTAATAACTAACTATAGAAAAATTAAAGTGAAATATGAAAATTAGAGGTCAAATAAGTATGGTTTATTGTAATAAATTGAAAAAAGGGAGGTGGGAAGCTAAATTTAGCTTTGTGTAGGGTTGGAGTGAAAATGATGTTTGGGGAGCTAAAAAGCCATATTTGGTTATTTGGAGAGCCAAATTTGACTTTAGGGTTGGAGTTAGTCTAAATGGGTAGATATAAGTGGCACCCGATATCCTATTCGAACTTAAATTATACAATTGTCTCAATTCTCAAAGTTAAGTGGCACCAAACATATTTTACCCACCAGAACTGCTATGGGCTTTGGCAAAGCAGCCCACTTTAGATACTTGGGCTGTGTTCGAGTACCTGTGAGCTGTAACTTGTAAAATGTAAATTGTGTTGTGAGGAAGTAGAGCTGACTAACAAGTATGATCAAAGTCAACTAAGTCTTTAGAACTGAGGTGGCAAAAGAGAAAGATGGTCATTTCCTTTGGCAGTCAATTGGATTTCCAAGAAAAAGAAAAATAAGGCAGCCTCCATAATAAGTCCATATTAAAGAGCCAAACATGTCATCCAGACAAGACACATAGCTTCTGATACATATACAACAAAGGACGGTAATAGAACTTTGGTTTGAATCTCGGGTGGATCAAGCTTGCTTGCAGAGTTCAGACCACTCCTGCAACGTCGGAGTAGCAACTCCGATATTTTTCATGTCGAAAACATTAGCTGCACTCAGAAGCATAGCAATCGAGTCAGCAGTGAGGAACTATATGAAGGCACTGAGCAAAACTAAGTTGATTACGAAAGAGAAGAGGTTACGAGTGATCATCCCAAGGTCATGACAATCTATAATTTCGTTACCTTGATGTATATCAGGGGTAGCAGCTGCTGTAGCATCTAAGATGACGGAAACCGATGGATAATCCAGTGCAACAGCATCAAATACAGTTTGCCTGATGCAATTTGGAGTTTGAACACCTGGAAATGTTTGCAGTTTCACGCATCAAAACAAGCCCAGTAAGCTATGCAGTTCTTATGCTCATACAGTATGGATAGCATCTATTAGCATACCTATAACCACTAGATCCTGGATTCCCTCGGTCTTCAGAAACGAATGAAGATGCGTGGCAAAGAATGCACTAAACCTTGTCTTGACAACCTTGTAGTCTCCTTCTTTCATCACAAGGCCATCAACCAGTTCTGCACCTGCACTTCCCTTACTGGTTGGGCCTACTTTTCCTTTCGAGTACAAATGCCGGCGAAAAACTTCAACATCTCTACCTAGTGGGTCATGCTCTCGAACCACCTGTATCCAAAGAGTAGAGAAATGCATCTAACAAAATAACCCCATGGAGAATCAACGCCCTACATTCAGCAAAGGACAACATGCTCTCGAACCACCTAAATCCAAAGAGTCGAGAAATGCATCTAACAAAAGGGTTGGAGAATCACTGCCCTACGTTTAGCTATGACCCTTTGTCCTTTGTCTTAATGAAATATTCATCCCTGCTATAGTTAAGCATCAAGACAGAGAAAGGTAAAGGTCCTAAATTATCCGAGCTCCTGTTTCACATCAACAAAACAACACCATATTCATCATTGGCTGATCCAGAAATTTGAATGAGGGAGGGCTGCCTTGTACCGTAATAATTGGTAGAAGGGAGAGCTAAGGCCTTACCAAATACTATTTTCTAAATTTGTTACGAATTTACATGTAATTTAACCTACATTTCAAATTTGGGAGAGACTATAGCCCCTCCTAACTTCAACCTAACTCCTCCACTGATATTCACATTCCTCCTCAAAAGTCAAAAACACCATTTTCCACCATTAGTATTCCAAGTAAAGGTATAATGAACCATGGCCGTTCATTCCCCCAACATATTTATAGCCTCGCAAGTCGCAAATCAGGCAGAAACTAAATGGCTTAAAATACCCTAAAAGCTTCTCGATTCTGTTCATCTGTAAGGTAAACTTTTCCTAGATGCTCACTTTCCAGGAAACGAACAGAACCCACGAAGAAGAACATCATAGCTAAATTGAGTATAGGAGAGAGTGAAAGGAAATTTAATTTACCCAAACAACAAGGATGCCACGCTGCCGAGCAATTTCAACTGCCTTGATTACGTTCGGCACAATAGCTTTCCCTCCGGCAACTCTCATCGGCGAATCATCCAGGATAAAATCATTCTACAAAATCCCACAGAGACAGATTAAAGCTGAAGTTCTGAGTACGTTTATGAAGTAATTTGGAGGTTTGAGAGAGAAACCTGCATGTCAATCACCAAGAGAGCAGTATGGTTCCATTTCGCAGCCATTTTTCAGCTTCAAGGGGGCAACTCTCAGGGATTAAAGCTGCCGAGTGCTCTGCTTTGGGTTCTTCTTTTTTTGAGGACCACTGAAGGCTATTTTAGAATTTTTCTTTCGACTCAATGACTTTTTTTTTTGCCATTCAACCGATCTCAAACGAGATGGAGATAAGATCCACACACTGTCAATTACAAACTACGTAACCAAGACACATAGTCGAACCTCGACAGGACCCGAGGCGACAAACTCAGGGACTTTTTGGCCACTAAATGAGCCTCCCTGTTCCTATGACAACCTACGAAACGTAGATCACAATACCCCCCAAAACCAGCCAACAAGGCTTGGATCTCACGCAAAATTGCGCCAACTTTAGAATCATTGAAATCCCCTGCCAAACATTTATCCAGGATAACCTTCGCGTCGCCCGTAATAAGAAGCGATGTGAGCTGTCTTGTGCTGCATTCCTTGAGACAATCCCGAAGAGCCAGGGTCTCCAAAACATGAGCATCGTTGATCCCTGCATAAATGGTTGCCGCAGCTGCAATTGGAAACATCATCCCTGCATCAGACGAACCGTCCCCAATCACATACGCTGCCAAACCTGCATCCCCCCTCCCAGTGGCGCCGTCGAAAGAAGCATGGAATTGATGACCATTATGCGGAAACGCTGATCCTGTAGGAACAGAAGATCGAAGCGGGATGGCCGGGGAAAGAGATGCGGACAAGAAAGCAGACTCAATTTCATTCACCTGATGACGCCACTCCGCCGCCCTTGACTCCAAGCAGACCTGTTGCTGATCAAAAACAACCATACACCTGTTCTTCCAAATACGCCAAAACATGGCTATAACTTGCAGGATAAAATACGAATTATCCACCCTCCCGCTCTTATGAAAAAGCACCTCCCGAACCATACCTGCAAAAGAACGCTTATCCCATCCTGCAAGCTGAGAACGAAAACCAACCAAGCTCCACAATTTTCGGGCAACAGAACAATTAAAAAACAGATGTTCTAACGACTCCACCTTCCGACCACAAACCGGACAAATCGGGATTAAATCAAGACCCCGGAGAGATAAGGCCTCCCTAGTTGGCAGTATCCGATTAAGACATTGCCAAACAAAAAATTTAAGCTTTGGTGGCAATTTCAAATTCCACAACCAAAGCCACATATCATGATCCATTTGATTTACACGAGGCCTACCAACTCTAGAACGATAGCATTGAAAAGCAAGATGATAAGCTGACCGAACCTGGAAAATACCTGATGGCTCAAAATGCCAAATCAACTTATCCGGGATTTGGATTTGCGGAAGAGGAATTGAAGAGATGAGCTTGACAGTATCAGGATTGAAAAACAGACGCAAGGCTGCCATATTCCAAGTGCAAGACCCTGGGTCAATCAACGCCGAAACAAACGGGGAAGAAGCAGGGGCACCAGGTCTACGAGAAGGAATCAATGACTTTTTCTTAAGTCGGTCTGATTCATGAATTTTTCTGGTAGGCTTAAAGCCCATCAGAAACGTCATTTCCCCAACTGAGGATACAGGGGGTGGGATTCGAAGACAGATTCCGGACTCAGGGCCCAATATACCAGGTAATGGGCTACAGAATTACACCCTGTAGATGCGAACCTCCAGGGTGGCGGCCCTTTCATTCTACATCATGTCTTGTTTTAGGCTGCCCAGAGATTTGATCAATTGGTTGAATGCTTTGATGGCAAGATTTTGGTGGGGAGCTATTCAGGGTCAACGTCGTATTCATTGGCAAGCTTGGAAAGCCTTGTGTACTTCTAAACAGGAAGGTGGTTTGGGTTTTCGCAAATTCGGTTGCTTCAATCAGACTCTTCTTGCCAAGGTTGCGTGGCGTGTGCTCAAGGACCCGCTGAGTTTATTGTCAAGGGTTTATAGGGGTCGGTACTTTAGGGATTCGGGTGATTTCCTGGGGGCTGGTTTGAGGAGTAATCCCTCTTGGGGTTGGAGGAGTGTCATCTTTGGCCGGGACTTATTACGAGAGGGTATCAGGTGGCAGGTAGGCGATGAGGTCTCAATCCGTGCTTTCCAGGATCCTTAGGTGCCAGGTGACCCACCGATCATTCCCAAATCAGCTCCAGGTATCTCTAACCCTGCTTTACTTGTTTCAAGACTCATGGATCCTGGTAATAGAACTTGGAATTCCGCGGCTATTCAGCATTTTATTGGTTCGAATTCGGCTGCCCTTATTCAAGGGATTCCGCTGTCTCAGAATATTTTGAAAGATTCAATAATTTGGCAGTATGAATCCAGTGGGATTTTCTCTGTAAAATCTGCTTTTCATCTAGCCTTTCGGCGCTGTCGTCCGATTCCGTCCAAACCTCGTATTGCGTTCGTGGATCCTTCTGTTTGGAATTGGATTTGGGGAAGGAAAGTTCCTCCAAAATTACACTTCTTCTTATGGCAATGTGTTCACAAAATCCTCCCGACTCGTGAAGCTTTAGTAACGCGAGGGATGGATATCATTCCCATTTGCCCTGTGTGTGGTCGGAAAGAAGAAACTTTTGAGCATTTGTTTTTCCGTTGTCCGGCTGCTCGAAGATTATGGAGGCTGGTGGGTATGCATAGGTATCTAGGTCATTGGGAAAAAAGATCCTTCATAGGCTTCATCAGGTACTCGTTATTCAAGGAGAATGGTGAAGATTTGGACTACCTCTACCTGCAGGTAATTTGTTTATTATGGAGGGTCTGGAAAAATCGTTGTAAAGTGGTTTTTTAGTACAAGCAGGTTCGTGTGGAAGAGCTTGCTGCACAATGGAGGCACCAAGTACAGGAGAATGAACAAGCCCTTCTGCAGGACCCTAGTACAGTAAATACAACAGCAACCATTCATTCCAATACTCCTCAAGTGCCGCCCAATGTGCATTTTGTGGGATCTTTTGATGCAGGTACTCTACAGGGAGAGGCCGGTTCAACAGCTTTTGTAATTCGACACATCTCTGGAGATATCATTGCTGCTAAAGCGAGTCGTTATACAGCCTGCAGTGACCCATATGTTCTTGAAGCTCTGGCCTTACGTGATTGTCTGGTGCATTGTATTCAGGCTCAGCTTCCGAATATCAACATTCAAGGTGATGCTAAAGTTATTCTTGACAAATGTTGTGCTGGAGACACCTGCGATTCCAAGATAGGGATTTTACTTCAGGAAATTGTATTGCTTCTTCAAGTTCTTACCTCAGTATCCCTCCAATTTGTTGGAAGATTGAACAACAGAGTAGCTCATTTTCGGTAGCAAAACATGCTCTGGGTTTGTCGCCTCGATTGTTAGGGAGGTTCGACTATGTTGCTTGGTTACGTAGTAGATAGGTTTCTTGTATATGTGAACTATGTTCGCCCTCTTTTTCAGAGGAATCTATTGGCAAAAAAAAAAAATATATGCGAACCTCCAGGGCCACCCAAGGAGCAACTCAAGGCTATCCAAATTGTTCAACACCCAACAAAGAGTTCAAGGCTTGTGTAGCTGAAGTATTGGAACCACTCATAAGCAGAATAGCATCTCCAGAGTTCGCAACTAAGTTGAACCCAAGGGAGGAAGTGTAACGCCACACTCTAAACTCATGGGTTAAACCAACGGTTGAACCATGCAGCGAAATCCTTCGGAGATTACGCTAACTCAACTATTTTACCACATGTAATAAATACCAACATCATGTTAATCCAACATCCACTACAATCATTTATCAAATCACTCATCCTATACCAAATACAAACTCGATATAGTTCAATCATTCCACTTAAAGCAAATCATAGTGGCATCCATTATTATGCTCAATACGATATCATTTACTATGCAAACCAAATCAACAATCCGTAAAACATAAATGGAAATCGATTCCAAAATCGGGAAACCTTCAAAACCAATCCTCCATCGATCATTGTGCAGTGCTACAGTTTCGATCAGTTCCTTCGAACCTGTAAGAAACTGAATAGACGTGGGTCAGCTACTAAGCTGCTTCATGGATCTCCCACAACCTAATTATTGGGACCATACTCAGCTAATCACATAGTCATATGTAATCGCAATTCAATAGTCTAGATGTCATCCTAGATCATCATATATAAGAGATCAATCAATATACCACCTCATCCTCAATGAACCAATTTATACAAAATGATAATAACATAGTTTCACGAACATACAATCCATGCATGATATAAAAATTTTGATTAATTATTAATGGGCGCCAAGGTCACCATACAAATGCCCCCACTCAAGCAAATCATCATCATCATTCGTGGTTTTCATGCTACCTCAACAATCAATCGCAGAAGTGAGTTAAATCTACCCAATCTCAAGGGTTGGGGGTAAGTGCATGCCCTTTATATGTCTATGTTAGTTAATATGATCACGAATCAAACCATTCTCATTTCTCTCATCCGTCACAAACGATCCAGAATCAATGTAGTCTAACTAACTAACTAGTCATGCAACAATCAATTCGAAATTAATGCAGTCCCACTGATTAATCAGTTTATGCATATCTCGCATCAAACATTTCATCAAACCAATTAAGGAATCAATACCTTCCCATTGAGTTCCAGTTCAAATGAATCTCATATTACTCATCTCATCATAATCTCAATCAATCTAGGAATCACTGCCTTCCCATTGAGTTCCCAATTCAAATGAATCTCGTGTCATTCATCTCATCATCGTCATCATTCTTAACCTCATATTCATATTACGATGGTTACTTATCAATCATCCATCTCAAGATTCCAATCACCATTTCCAATTAGTACAATTCACGTCAATTCATTCATACCATCATTTGTCAATATTCATACAATTTCATATCTTCAATTATCACTCAAACATTGATACCATCCAAAATCACGTAGTTAGCAACTATTGTCAATCATTGAACAGCTAATCACAGTTCACCATCTTATTAATCTTTACTATATAATATTACATTTCACATTAATTCCAAATCATAGTTCAACACCCAAAATCCACCATACAGTTTTACAAAAGTAACCCCACGTAATTTACCAACATAAACTTGTTTTGGGGGTAAAACATTATCATCTCTAAAAAATTTCATCCATCAAAATTAATCATAAAATTCATGAAGGTGAATTTATTACGACAAAATTCAATTAAATCTATCCCTTGTCACAAAAATCAGTTTACATAATACCACTCTAAAAATCTCATATTAACCTTAGTTTTATGGATACTTAAATTCTGGCAAATCGATAACTCCATAAGTTCATAAAAAATACATAAATACTCATTTTTCATCCTAGAACAGTTCTGATTATAATATACCATTTAAATAGCTCAAAACCATGAGAACAAAATTACAATTGGTTTTTACCAAGAATAGCGTATTAACCTCATTTTCACCATTTTAAGGATAAAAACTCCACCAGCAGTCCAATACGTCATTTAAACACACAAAAAAATTGACAAGACAAATTATCCACCAGCCAGCCACCTGCGAGATGACGATGGTGGTGGTGGCGGACGAGCGGCACAGCGCCAAGACAGAGGCAACGATGGTGGTGGTGATGGTGGACGAGCAGCGTGGCGCGAAGTCGGAGGCACGACGCGGGGATAGAAGAGGCTGTTTTTCGCTTTTTGGGATTTAGGGTTTGGAGAACCAGATGGGGGAAGGTTAATTGAGGTTCGGTTGGGGATCGATTAGCAGGATAACCGCAGTTGATCACTTCCGGTTACTCGGCTAACCGTCCCCTCCTTTACCTCAACCGAACACCGACCGACATCATATATCATCAATTTCGGTTAGCCGATAACCGATCGATTTCAATTATAACCAGAGGTTACCCGCTAACCGAAAATCGTTCGACCAACCCTACTCCTATCCGACCGTGATAGTTTAGGTTCAATTATACAAAAGTTGAACCAGCAACACGGTAAAACCGTTCGCTTTTAACTGACCGACCGGTTATCAAAACCATAGCCCGCCAAACTTTCCTTTTTGCTATTGCTCTGCTCTCCAAAGCCCCGCACCTTAATTTCTTCCCTCTCCAGTCTCCAGGGTTTATCAGACCACCAAACCCCATTAAACCCTCTCTGTCGCCGCCACCAGCACCAGCACCTACGGCGAGTCGGCGACCATGAGTCTAGTAGCAGGTTCCAACGAAAGATTCATCTGGGGCTTCAAACTCAAGCCCGTAACCACCGAACAATCCCTAACCTTAGCTCCCCTCTTCTCCTACCCATCCCACCAATCCGCAATCCTCTCCGCTGCCGCCGCCGGTCCAATCGCCGCATCTGGATCCTCCGACGACACAATCCACCTCTATGACTTACCTTCCGCAGCCTCCCTCGGCTCGCTCTACCAGCACACGGCCTCAGTCACCGCACTCTCCTTCTTCACCCCAGCTTCACTTTCCTTCCCCCGAAACCTAATCTCCGCCGACGCCGAAGGCTACGTTTGCATTTTCGACGCCGACCCTTTCGTCCACCTCAAGACCGTGAGGGCGCACAAGAAGCGGATCAATGACTTGGCCGTCCACCCTTCAGGTAAATTGGCGCTTTCTGTTGGGAGGGATGACTGCTTGGCGATGTTGAATTTGGTGAGGGGTAGGAGAAGCTTCTACTGTAGGCTTGGGAAGGAAGCTAGCTTGGTGAGATATGGCTTGGATGCAGAAAAGTTTTTCATGGCTACGGAGGAGAAAGTTGGGGTTCATGAAACTGAAGATGCCAAGCTTGTGACCGAGCTTCAATGCCCCAATAGGGTTCTTTGCGCCGCCCCTGGAGAGGTCTGTTGCTTAAAGTTTCCAGCTTTATCGAATTCCATTTCATCGTTGTTTCTCTTGTTTCCGTTATTTGCGATTCAGTTGATTGGATGGTAGCTTCTTAGATATTGGAATGAAATTGCAAGTAGAATAAGTCTGAAGAAGTAATATCTTGTATATGACTGTGACTTAGTAGTTAGTAGGAATATATAATTGATAGCTTCTCTTTGATGATCTTAATGGATAGTTTCTGGACCTTTAATGATTTACATTTACTTTCACTTGGTTCCTGGAAACCTAGAACTTTTTTTTATGAAGTTATTTCTAGCGGTTAATAGCTGCGTATGAAAATTTATACAAGCGTTCTTGTTTTGTGTATGGAAGTACCGAAGTTTAGTTCCTTCTCTTGTTTAAAATATGCAGCCTTTTGAATTACATTTCATTGTTGATTCTCTTGTTTCTGTTATTGTCGATCAAGTTGATGTGGTATTGTAGCTTCCTAGATATATTGGGATGAAAGTTGCAAGTAGAATCGGTTTGAAGAAGCAACAGTTTGTATGTGAATGGGGCTTAGGAGGAATGTAGAATTGATATCCTCTCTTTGATGATCTTAATGGACAGGTTCAGGACCTATAAGGATTTACATTTACTTTCATTTGGTTGCTGGAAACCAAGAACTTCGGAGTAAAGTTATATTTTTTTGTTGGTCAATAGCTGTGTATGAAAATGGATCCAGTATTGGTTAAATTGTACCTTGGCAACTTGCTCTTGTTTTGTGTATGGTAATGGAAGTAGAATTAGTTCTCCAGAGATATTTCTTTCAGTTATTTTAAACAATTTATTCCTGTGAGATGACTGCTCTGTCTGGGATTATGTTGCGTGCTAGTTAACTTTATGAAACTGTTCATAATTCCTTGTTCTTCTATCTCATGTGTTTCATGCTGTTAATGTTTTCTTCTGTGTGCTTCACCTTCTCAGTATCAGCCTGTGTTTTTTACTGCTCCTTGCACTGACCCTGCTTATTGCCTCGTGCTAATAATAAAGGAAGCAAAACTGATTGACTTCAAATATGATAATTTCTTTCCAATGTCTCTGAATGGTTTGAACAAGATTCAGCTGTGAAATTTTGTTCTGATATGTGTTGCCACTATCAATAGTTACGACCTTGGTGCGATGACTAGATGAGAGCTCTGGTTTCACTTTCATTCGCTCTCTCTGCTAAATTTTCATGTGGAGTAATTCTTGTCTGTGTTTCTCTCTTGATCGTTTGTGGCCTTCAACAGAACGGGCTTCTATTCACTGGTGGCGAGGACAAGAATATTACAGCATGGGATACTAAAACTGGGAAGGTTGCTTACTGCATTGAAGATGCTCACAAATCGCGTGTGAAAGGTATCGTAGTGCTCACCAAGAGCAATGGAGGCGTCGATGACCCCTACCTATTAGCGTCAGCGTCCTCAGATGGGGTTGTGCGTGTGTGGGATGTTCGTAACTCCATGAAGGAAGAAAAGGCAAATCCACTAGCTGAGGCAAGCACAAACGCGAGGCTTACATGTCTTGCTGGGTCATCAATCAAATGTAGGCGATCTCCTGTCCCGTCATCTGATCTTTGTTGTCGAGTAAAAAAAATCGGTTTCCAATCTGCTTAACTTTCATCAATCACTGCTTCTTGCGTGACCTCTCTTTAATTACTGGTTCTCATTTCTCACTATATGAGTTTACTTCTTTCGATTTGCAGCTTTCAAACGAACGCGAGCAACATCCCAAGAGGACCAAACTGCTGCGCTGAAGAATCCCAAGAGAAAATCCCACTCAACATCTGGTGAGGAATCGTAAGCTATCTCCATGGCCATTGAAGTTGGTGAACGTAAGGGTGATGCAACGATAACGTAAGCAGATTACGGAAATTGGTCCCAAAATGACAATGGAAACAAGGAAGAAAAGACAGCCCATATGATTATGAATGAATGAATGAAGTGGTTGCCTGCCTCTGCCTGCTGTGCTGCCAGAAACGAATTGCCATCATTTCAGTTTCGTCCTCAACTTTTATTTTTCATTTTATGTTGTTTGCTGGAACTGAGGAAAGCGATGGGTAATCATTTTCCATCACTTTCGCCTTTTCTTTGCTCTTGGCTTTGTGCCCAGGTCGTGGTCCAGTAGGGGAAAACCACCCAAAAATAGAGTGCAGATTTTGTGTATTGTGAAATGTAAAGAACTAAAACGCACAAGAATGTAAGGCAACAAGTCCAAAGAACACAACGGTTAAACCTTTTTTTTTATATATAGGAGCAACGGTTAAACCTCATGAAAAAATCCTTTTATTTTTCGTTCATTCCAAATCCAAAAATGAGAAATCAAAGAAAAATCTCTATGTTGATGTTTTACATACCGTTTGATATAAATGAATTCTATAAATGAATTCTATAAGTTTTGAGTAATTCATTTTGAAATGAAATCTTTTTGTGTTTGGTATTTGAAAGAATTCATTTTCAATTCTAAATTTTGAATTATGCGGAATTGGAACTAGTTATAACAATTCAGAGGAATCGAGATGGAATTTGCAAATGGATTCCACTAGTATTTACTAATTATAATAGAATGACATAATTATCCTCATTTATTAACTAAATTACATCTACATATATTATTTGGCGCCAATTGATGTCGTATGAGGAACGTCACCAAGAATTTGATTGCAAAGCTAGTAATACATGTTGTTTATTTTATATTTATGCTTCAATTGTATCAATATGTTAAGAAGACATAACTATATTGTAGGGTTGATCGACGAAATATTATAAAAGAACTAATCAATAGAATAGAATCACACAAGAACCCTTTTGATATTATACATATGGGACCAAAGATGTTTTTTAGAAGATGGATTTTCAAAGAATATTGTTTTGTCCAAAATTAATAAGGGTGTAGTTGGAGAAACTTGTAATTCAATTCAATTCTAAATATTTAGATATGACATACCAAATATAGGAATTCATTTGACAATGAATTCTACACAGTAATTCATTTTAAAATGAAATGAATTCTCGATTCATTTGATACCAAACGGTCTGTTAAGTGTACTAGTGTACAAATTGAAAATAATTATTTTGTTTTTCTTATTTCTCCTTTTATGTTTTTTTTTATTCTGTCATTGCTCGTGCATGCATGCACTTCCCATTCTCAAGAAGAAAGCATTACTTAATTAGTTACTTCATTAATTATTATGTATATATGTAATAAAATGCATCAAGAGCTAGATAGCCAGCACACAATGAATTAATCAGTACAACTAACTAATTAAATGATGATCTTTGATATGCTAAATTACCATACATATATACGTACGTATAGTAGGTAGGCTTATTAATTGTATAATATCTTGCTTAGACACTGCAGATTAATTAGAATGAGGTTTAATTTGGACACCAATCATCAGAATGGGCCTCCTCCGATGGCCGGAGCCCAATAATCCGCTCCGACGACCTCGCTTCCTCCGACGAGTTGCGTGCATGTCACCGGAACCAAACATAGCCCTCTACTCCTCAAGTCTCCTGGCTTCACTTCCTGCTTCATTCATGATGTAATAATTTAATTAGCTTAAATGCAACAAAAGTAAGATGGCAAAGGGAGCAGCAAAAGAGCTGTAAGTCAATTGAAGGAAAAGAAAGGTTCAATGCATATCCACCAAAGTGTTACGTACGTGAAGAAAAGGAGGAGGGAAAAGAGAGGCTTGAGAGTTGAGAGGGACTCTGTCCTCCTTTTGCTAGCTTTTTCTAGTTTCGCTTTCGAGCTTTTCTTTTTTTTAGCTATATATTAGCTAGGTAGGTGATCATTGACACATTTAATAAAACTAGCTGGACTGTTTTTTCTTTTCTCCAGTTAAAAGTAAGGGTTAATACTTTAAAATGGATCGAACTTTATACTAAAAGAATAATCTGGTCTGATTTTTTTCTTAATATTAATCATCGTCTGAATTTTACACGATTTAGATTACTTTAGCCTGGTTCTTGAATTTCCTTCAAGTTAGATGATCAACATATTTCGTCTTTAGCGCTAATATGGATGCCGTGTAGACAATAGAAACTAATAAAAAATTTAATAATTTAATAAAAAATATCGACCTTCTAAATTTTTTCATAATTAGTTCAAACCACCAAACAACCAAAAAAATATGCTCCTCATTGACGAACTATGATTGTTGAGTTAATTATGATAATAGGTGATTCAAATCAAGCCACATATGACATATTAGTTTATTTTCTAGTACTCTAATAGTTGGTTTCCTATCTACTTTAGACACAGAGATACGAGCTTATAGAACATATCCTAACAAGTAAGGTTTTCATAGTACACTAATAGTTAAAATTATGCATAATGGAAATTTATATTGAGATATGAATGCGATTTTTTTTGTCAAAAATTAACATCTTTACTAATCTTCGAACCTAACAAGCTTTGAGTGGCATCCATAGAAAATCTTCTTGTCTTTTTAAGAGTTGGTTTCGTTTAATTTTGCACCCGATCCGATCCATAGACTCAATAAACTTTGGAAATCCAACAGCATGCACTTTATACCTAAAAAAGGGAATGAAAAAGAAAGATAAACAAACTTTTCAACCAATATTAAAATAAGCAAAATTTATATGAATAATCATGTACATAATTTTATTATTTGTAATGATCTTCTAAACCAATTCTTTCACGGTTTTGAAACACCTCAAAGAAGAAACGATAGACGAACAAACACAATCAATAGGATGATCTGCCCCGATCGATTTTGTACTGACATCCTCAGGTGAACCTGCCTAACTACGATATTCACCCTTATGAGCCACAATTATTTGTTCATAAGACTCCAAGTGACTTTTACCACTCATGGATCGATCTATAACTATATAAAGTGGCGTAGCCAGACTTTGAGTACACAGAGGTCCTTAAAAATTCAATAACACTATATATTTCTATCCAATGAACTTTGAATTGATTGGGAGTCCTTAGGTGAAATAACATTGACCAAAGTATGGAGTCCTAAACTTGAAAAATCATACTAAACCATATTTATTTAAAGGGGTTTGTTGTCCGATTTTTTGTCAAGTGGGGTCCTCCACCTCCCTCCGCCACTGACTATGTATACTTCTTGGTGAAAGCATGGTCCATGAAACCGTACTGTATTGGCGGTTCAACCACGAAATACCAGTATCGGAGGCTAAACCGGTAGGCGGTATTTAACGGTTCTAACGGTTGAACTACGGTTAAACCACGGTTTTTTCATAAAATATCCTACCGCTAACTTTTCCGGTACGATCTCCGGTACGTTTTCATGGACCTTGGGTGAAAGACGTTGGCCTGTGTCTTTGTAGCTAGTGTTTAACAAATCCCACTAACTTATTGATAATAACTACCAAAGAGCAAAGAGTACAAAGCTTATTTCCAAAATACATACATGTAATTGTTAGAAATCTAGTGATATATAGTAGTAAACTACAAAATAATTATCATCAATAGCATTAGCAATAACAAGATAAACAGTAAAAATGGGTTTCAGCTTAGACTTACAGCAGCATGTTGGCCTGTGATATTGTTTGAATGTGAAAGTGAAGCAGCAGCATTATTAGTCCCCAAGTAAGGAGAGCTGAGAGCCTGCAATTCCAATGCAATGCATGGGTCTTTTTTCAATATATGATTGTTTGGCCTTTAGCTATGCATGCTTCTGAGAATTTCTGACTACCTTGTCCTCCAATCTATTTTTATTTACTTCATTTATTTATATATAATTTCCTATGAAAAACCAACAAAAAATAAATTTCTGAAAAAGAAGGAAAGGAAAGTGTGTTCATTCATTACTTTTTATATACGCATTATATAAATAATTAAATATACCTATTTCATTTATTTTTATAATCAAAATATACCTCAACTTGAGTCTGGAGGAATCTGATATACCCAATAGCTTCCAGCAACACAGAAGCTGTGTCAGTCTGCAAAACAAAAAGAGCAGCCAAAAATCAAAACGCCCCTCTTCCTTTCAAGAAAAAATATATATACCTCATAAATAAAATATAAAAAAAACTCCCCAAAATATAAACAAAACATATTTATAAAAAAGAAGAATATTTACAGGCAAAATGTTATGAATAGTTACCTTTCCAAAAGGGGAAACTAACTGATGGAGGGCTGTGATTCTATCTCCCAACTTCTCCTTCCTCACCTGTTTAATTTCCAAGTTTTTTTTTTCTCATTATTATTATACAATATATGTGAATGAAATTCAGTGCCCACTAAAGAGTAACCTATCTAGCTAGCTTCTTGCTTTAATTTGATTAATTTACTGGAACAAAATATAGCATTATATTGTTACCCAAAAAAAAAGATGAAAATAAGTGATGCTGTGAAAGTGTGTGAGTGGACAGCAGAGAGGAGAGGACTGAAGCAAGAAAGAATATATCAGACATGCTCATCAAGGCAACAGACAATCAAGAAAGACACATTATATACCCACATTCTCACTGTCTGTTAATTGTTAATTATACATTGCTGGAATTAGTACTAATTAATAATTACTCAACTAATAAATTTGGAATGATATTAGTCTGGATAATAAGCTTAATGATCATACAACATAATTAATCAATCACCTTGAGAAAAGGCTGGCTTGATCTTCTAGATGCCTGCTGCTGATGTTGATGATGAGGAGGAGGAGGAGGAACCCTAGCCTTCTTATTATAATCACACACCACCCCACCTGTTTTGGCTGTTCTGCCACACTTTGTCATAGAAGGAAAAAAAAAAACAATGTGAATAAAGAAAACCAAATATTAGTTTGGTAAAGTTTTTAGCTTTCTCCTATTCGGAGTACTTCACTCAAATATTAACAGTTGAATTAAACGCTTATAGTATGTACGTACCTCAGACGATATTGAGTGATCAGGATGTGGATGATCAATCGTATTGCGATAAGAAGAGAAGTCCAGCATGGATTTGGCTGTAGTTGTAGTGGTAGTAGTGCTTACATCACAACAGGAAGAAGAAGAAGAAGCCCTAAATGGTGAAGAAGAAGGTGGTGGTGGTGGAAAAGGGATGTCATTATTATAAAACTGGTGGTGGTGGTTATTGGCATACATTAATAACAAGTTGTTGGTTTCCTGATGAGCCTGGGGATTTAGCAGTATCACTTCTGGCTTAATATTTGGTAAAACAGAAAGTGGTGGGTGAAGAAGGGATGGGTAATAGGAGTTGTTGCTCAAGCACAACTCCTGGTATTGAAGCTGATCATCTTCATCTTTTCCTTCTTCTTCTTCTTCTTCTTCTTTGGCCTGATCATGGCTGCCAATTCTCCTCCTCTTTGTGGCTTCCTCTTCTTCTTCTTCTTCTTCTGTTGACAAACCACCTCTACTGCACAAACCCAAGTTCAGTGATTTGATATAATATGTAGTAAAATGAATCATGGAATGAGAGTTGAGAGAGAGAGAAAGAGAGAGAGAGAGAGAGAGTATTACAGAAGGAGGTGGCTCCATGATGAGTGAGGACCATTAATACTGCTACTACTGCTCATAAGCTGGTGTTGTTGTTGCTCATCATCATGGTGAGGAAAGCAATTCAACATCAAATTAGGGTAACTAGAAGCAGAAGTATTAGTAGAAGCTGAATTGGGTAGCAAATAGCTATTAGGAGAATCAGAAGTCTGCTGCTGCTGCTGATGCATAATGTTGCTCAACATCCACCAGCTGCTGCTGCTGCTGCTGCTAGGGTTTCCTACCATGGATCATATGTCATGAAGCTAACAATCAAACTAGCTAATGAATGATGGGAGCATGATGATCAGCTGATAGCAAGCTGGAACTCCAATTGGAAGCTGATCATAACATAAACAAAGAAAAACCAGCTGCTATATAAGGTCAGGCTGACCTTGTTCAAGATCAAGACTATGATGAAAAGAAAAAAAAGAGAAGCAAGCATTCAAAGCTCTCTCTCTAGCTCCATGAAGAGGATCTAATATCTCTTCCTTTTTTACTTTCTTGGCTACTTTCCTTTCTTCACCTTTCCTGATGATGATGATGAAGTTACTTACCTACACCCTCCTCTTCTCACCTTAGGCCAGGGTTAGCTTTTGTGTGTTTCTTTTGAGAGAGAAGGAAAGATGGTCTTCCCTTTTCTCACAAGAGGTTAACAAAGTTTGATGATATATGTATGGCCTTTTCTTTATTAACCCACCTTTCTCACTTTCCCTTTTTCTTCTCTCTTTGCTGAAAGAGAAAAAATATCACCAAGCTGGAGAAAAGAAAAAAAAATTTAAAAAGGGGAGGCTAGCTTGGGTGTGTGGGGTTGGGGAAGGAGCCTCTGCCCTTGTCCCGCAGTATGGTTATAATAATAAGTAATATCCAGCCTTATTTTTTTTACAATGATTAACAACTTTTATTCCAACAAACGAAAGAAACATTTTTAGAGAAGATCAGAAATGAGATCAAAAATATTAATCCAATCATCAGGAAGCAAAGCTTGTGCTTTTGATCTCGCAACCCAACCAGCCTTTTCATGACGAGAGATTTGTTGTTGAAAGTAAGATAGTCTTTTAATCTTCGTTGTAATTATTGGCTCTTTATGGTGAGAATTACACGAGTTTGTGTCTTAATTTGTAAGTAGAATTGTGAGCAAGTGATAAAAATGATCAGGGTTGGGTCAATAACAAGTAATTGAAATCTAATTTATCAGTCGTATAAGATATATACAAAACAATCATTTGGTCTCTTTTCATCTATATTTTTATTCAGAAGTTTCAGCTAGATAAAAGAAAATAACAGACACCTAACCAAATCTAAAACCTACCTCTTATCGAGAGCAAGCCAACTAAACATTTTGGATGAAAATATGGAAGAGAAGACATTATTATATCGTTGTTTTATTGTATTGTAATACATGTATATGGCATTTTTATTATATTTTAAATGTTTGTGATCATTTTGTTACTGGACCAAGCATAAGATTTCAGTTGATCCACCATTGACCGGTTGAAAGGACATTATGGCTTATGACTAGCTGAAAAAACCCCGACCACATAAGATAAAATGCCTTAAAACGTAGGAGAGCTCAAGTGCTTTTTGAATTTTGATAGGAAATCACTAAATTTAAATCTAAGGTAACTTAAAATTAAGTTGTATAGCTTCAGAAACTTTAGATGTAAATACATTCTCCAATGCCATTAATATATGTTTCGTATGAAAAGTAATACATATCATTGAAGCGGTTGAGGTTAGGGGAAGTCCACTCCTTGTACTCAAATCTTAAATTTTCATGAATTGGAAAATAAGAAACTTGTTTAATTATCTAATATAATTTTATAAAGTGAGTCACTTAAAATGAGTAAATTCGAATTACATGTCACACTCCATGACAATTTGCTCTATCTTAATTTTGTGCTGTCAAACGGGTCAATTCTGCTCAACTGTCTCAAAATAAAACAACTAGATTAAATTGATTTGTTAGAATTTCTCATCCAAATGACCCAGTTGAAAACTAGTAATATATTACTGGACCAACCCCTAGTGTCTCACAAATATAGTAGGCTAATATATTACTTTGTATCTTGTATGAATCAAATATCTATCTATATTTTTTCTATTACATGTCTCTTTCATGCTAATAAATACATTGCATAGAGTACTGCTCTTTTCTAAAATTAAGTCTCAATATTTAGTATTCTTTCCTTATTATGATTCTCTTGCTTTGGCTCTCCTTTAAGATCAAAGTGGACATATAGCAAAAGCTGGTGGGCACTGGACACTACTGGTACTGTTCCATCACTCCTTTTTTTATCATTCTTTTTTTTTATTTTAATCTTTTTATCTTGATCTATAATCTGAATTTTCCATCTTCTATGTGTTTTCCATGCTTTTCCTTTTTCCACCTTGTGCCCATGAACAATTTTTTCCCTCTTTAATCTGAAATGGGGTTTTTCCTTAAAAAATAATGGAATTCTTACACTCGTCTCATACTTGTAACGAGCTATTAGATAAAAAGGTAAGAAGTAGGTTGTCAAGAATCTGAATTTAATAGGGATGAATAACAATATAGACCTAAGAGTTCATAACATAATTATTTTGGAGGTTGTAATATCAAGAGGATGAACCGATGAAGTGACTTAGTGAAGATTGAGAGATAATATATCTACATGGAGTATAGTGAATCCAAATACGATATTCTCTATGTCAATAAATGGTAGATTCCAAAGGACCTTCAGATTATATACAAGAGTGCGTATTCTTGAAGCATCCCAAGTAACAGAAAATTGTTACGATGCCTTAAATATTTGTTTGGGTTTTCTCCATTTACTTTCGGTTTTATCCTCTCTTTTTTTTTAGTTTCTGCTAGTGCACTTTTTGATTTTTTATGTTCAAGATTAGGAGAAGTGCTCTAGAAGTACACACTTTAGCACCTAATTAGTAGTTAGGTCAGTCGGCTTACTATGTTTGAAAACTAGTTTTAGAATCCTAACTATAATTTGTATTCTCCTCAAATCAATAAAATTCCCCTCCTCCCCCTTATATGTGAATATTAGCTAGCATACGTTGTGTTAGTGAAATTCGTTTTTCACCCTGTAAAGATCTTTGCTCCTGCCACAACCTCCCTGGAGCTCTGACGCCCTCTCCCTAATTTTCTTCACTTCATCGATTAACCTAATCTCGCCACCCCCTTATGTTTCTTCCTCCTTCTTCTTTGTTCCTAACCCAGAAATGGAAGGGGAAGATGGACTTGCCACTGCTGCAAGTATCCTTCCTCGTGCTTCTCGATAGTGATCAATGGCGGACGCGTGGAGAATCTGCTGAAGAAACTCGCATACGCCAGCATAACCATCGGAACTTTCTTCTTCCTCATCAGCTACCTTGGAATCCCAGGATCCTGCATCTGTCTAGAAACCCCAATCACAAAACCCCACCAGAAATTCCCTTACTCCACCTGCGATTTCTGCCCCTGCCGCCCTTACCTCCATCCAACGAAGAAGAACCTCCGTTGTGGTCATCCACGCTCTGGATCTCCAAACTAAATTCTTTCACCAAATTCTTCTCTGACCTTCAATGCCCCGGCCTCTTACTTAACCACCCATGCATCCTCTATCTCTCCAAGTAACGCTGGCCACGAGGTGATAGCCCTCTAGAACATGGGCTTCAGAGATTGGACATGGGTCTCCGTCGTGCACCCATTACATAAACTAATTCAAGTCGCGGAGGGGAGGGGGGAGTGAGAGAGTAACTGGTCGTCGGAAGGGAGATTCGACGAGGAAGGCAGTTGTTTTCTGTCGATTTGTTGTCCTCCAGAGCACCCGACGAAGAGGAGGCGGCAGAACGACTATTACTCCGGGACCCGGTGGCGGCGGCGGCTCTGATCCCGATTCTTCCCTCCTCGTTGATGCGTGTGGCAGGGATTCTAGAGTTGATGGAATCAATTTCATCGCCACTACGACCAGGAGAGGTGACGATGGACATGAAGAGAAGGAGGTAAAGAAGGAGCATCGTCCGTGGTACCTATGTGCAGAAAACTTTGGGAGTTATGGTTTTTTCATTCAAGTCAAAATGAGGAAGAAGAGATTGTCAGGTCATGGGTTGGGTAATGGGTATGTTATGCGGCGAGTTTAATGACGTGGCATATCGAGTATGAATTTTTTTAGGTTAAAATAGGGTGAATCATCACTTTCGTTAGCCGTCAGCAAAAAAGTGATGGTGTTAACAGAGACTAACCGAGAGTGACCAAACATAGACTGATTCAGTAATTTGAGTGATAAAATTGATATTAATTTATTCTAGTGACCAAACGTGGCATTTACCTGTTGTTTTTCCTTTGTGTTCAAGTAGGGGATGATTTTTAAATTATGAGCAGATAGACGAAGGACACTTTGTATGGCTAACGATGTTATCTGTAAGGTAGATGTAACTGGATCCATCATGATAAGGACACATGATGGTTATGCATGCATCTTGAATGAAGTTAGACATGTGTGAACCACTAAAAACATAAATCTTTGAGTCTATTAGGCAAGAAGGATTTCAGTTTCAAAGGTGAAGCTGGTGCATGTGTATAAGGGTTTCATAGTGGTTTTGAAATGCATTAAGCACGGTGCGTACTATGTGGGACAATGGGCAAGTTTCTCTAAAACAACATCATCCACATTTCAAAATCCTCAAATCCATACCCTCTCCATACCATGTTGGGTGGAGTTTTAGCAACCCCATACCTGTGATTTTCGGGTACCCATGGGTATCACCCTCCTCGTACATCAAATATTATGATATCTAAAATTCAACATGTTGATCTTTAATTATAACACTAAACAAACCTAATAAATCACGAAATGAAAAAGATTCAACTATTTTAATACAAATTCAACGCATTCAATCCTATAACATACATTCATCCATATGAAAAGGTACAATATTATTCAAATCATTCGTCTATGACTACGACACATTTACTGAGCAATCATTATATAATATAATCTTGTTAAAAAGGAGAAAGAAGTGAATGAGTGAGGGGATAAATGGAGGGAAAGAAATTAAGATATGGTTTGGGTGACCACTTTATTACATGTCAACTCTTTATTTTTTTAATTACCCTTTCTTTTCATTGACGGCTTACAATTTGTTCTCTTTATTTTTTATATATGAAAAAATACTCTAGGTGGACGGGTATGCGTACGAGTATGGGTTCCCCTATCGAGCGGGGGAGTCTAAAACTATACCCACCTCATCCCCATCAAACGTTTTTGCGATTTTTACCCATATCTATCTCATATCAATGAGTACGGGATTTCCCCACGTTGAATGGGTCAGAGACAATCAAGTACCCACGATTGCGGGTTTGATTGTCATCCCTAGTGCCTTTTATAATATACAAAGTTCCATACTAACAGATTATATTGATGATATGTTTACCAAGTTGGTTATTCGTGGCAAGTTCCAACATTATTTAGACTTGCTGAATATTCAAAGTTGCTAATAGCCCTCAAAGGCATTCTCGGACATGAAAAAGTCCAATACAACTAACACTTTTTGTTTGCATCTAGGTAAGTTTGGTGACTTAAATTGTACATCTAACAAATTTTATTGCACCTGGTAAATTATTTGAGAGAGAATTCAAGTTTAGGTGGGGATATGTGTTAGGATGCCTTAAATGTTTGTTTGTGCTTTGTCCATGTGTATTGTGTTTTTGGAATTTCTTTCCTATTTATTTGGGTTTCGTGAATTGTTTTACAAATGGAAAATACTCTCGTTAATTCCTAATTACTATCTTGATGTACCATGTTAGTCTATTTTGAACTAACTTGATCATCTCTGTATCATTTTGTCAAATAAGTGAGGAAAAACCACATTAAGCTTCACATGATGTGAGGAAAAACCACATTAAACATCAAGTTCTTTACTTTATCGCTCTTTAATGGTATCAGAGCTATGAGTTCCATATTATTATTTTTAATCCATCATGGAAAAACATGGAGAGAAGAGTTTGTTCATCGCTAGCAGCAAAGAACCCAATCTCCCGCCCGTGTATCAGCTTCCCAATTCAGACTGCCAGGGACGTATGCTTGTTGTTGAGATTCTGAAAGCCTCAAACTATCGTGAATGGGTGCTTCGTTTGAAGGATGTTCTTATCATCAAGAGTAAATTCGATTTCATCGATGGAACCTTACCCAAACCAGCCAACCCCATAGAACGAGGTACTTGCATTTGATGTGATGCGATTGTGAAGGGATGGTTGAAGACTACAATGAATAAAGAAATTCAGAGAGCATAAGGTTAGCATAGACATCTCGTCGCTCACGCAATGTCACTTGGAAACACAACCTAATAAAGAAGTTGTTGTTGTCTCGTGGATGTAAGCCTCACATGCTGTGAAGAAGAGCCACATTAAACTTCTTTTTCTATACTTTATTGTTCAATCTTTCATGGTATCAGAGCTGTGGTATCCAAATTATTGTTTTTAATCCATCTTGGATAAATATGTAGAAGAAACCAATGGAGATAAGAATATGTTCATCGTTAGCGATAAAGAACCCGATCTCCCGCTTGTGTATCATCTTCACAATTTGGACAAACCAGGACATATGCTTGTTGGCGAGATTCTAACAACCTTGGAATATGGTGAATGGGTGCTTGATATTAAGGATTCTCTCAACACCAAGAGTAAATTATGTTACATCGATGGAACCCTACCCAAAGCAGCATACCCTTTAGAATGAGGTGCATGGATTTGTTGTGATGCAATGGTGAAGAGATGGTTGAAGACTATGATGGATAAAGAAAATTGGAGTAATATAAGTCATGAACCATCTTGCAAAATATGGGTAATGTTCATGAGCGTTTTGGTCCATGGAGCTCGTCTCGAGCATATGAACTTTTTCAGCTAATTAGCTTGCTTCAACAGGAGAAGAATTATGTATCTTCATTTTATACTAAGTTCCAAGCTCTTTCGGAGGAAGCGTCAACTATTTCCTGCACACCAAGTTGCATTTATGGACATTGTACCTGCAATTTGTCTAAGAGAGTTCATGAGCAACAAGAACATTCAAGATTATTTGATTTTTAATGTGCCTTGATGAAACCTTTGTCCCATTATGCACGCAGTTATTGGCTATGAAGCCAACAACATCCTTACATAAAACTTTCAATATTGCTTTGAATGAAGAATAATAAAGGGCCATCTCTCAAAGTCAATGTCTATAACCTGAAGCAGTTGCGTTTGTTGCTCGAGGTGAAGCAGACAAGCATCCTTACGACACGGGGAGCAGGAGAGACCTTGATGTACTCACTGTAAGTAAATGGGGCACCTACAAGAAACGTGCTATGAGCTTATAGTTTACCCACCATGTGATCGTGATAAGCAATGAAACAAACAACCTAGGCGATGAGGGAACTAAAACTCGGCTGAGGGATCAGTCCAAGAGCCAAAGGCTTCATAGGTTGACTCAGAACTGAGTCTTGTTTTCGGTTTCACATTGAAGCAGCTAGAGTAGCTCAAAACGTTCTTTGGGCAGTCTGGGTCGGTAGTTGACGACCCCATAGCAAACATGGCAGGTATGAAATCTGACAACTTTGAATTAGGGATGGCAATTTGAACCCGCCCCGCCGGGTATTACCCTACCCGCAGTAGCGTGGGGTGGGTCATGGGTATCAACTTCCGACCCGACCCGCCCCCCCCCCCCCCCCCCCCGGTCCTGTTCTTAACTCGTTCTAGGTCAATTTCTTATGTCATTCATTCATTCATTCATTCATATATCTCCTATTTTGGCTTTTCTTCAACTAGTTAGACTTGATTTTTCAACCAAGTAGACTCAATTGCCCATTATATTATCACTATTATTCATTCATGAAGCATTTTCCCCTTCGTTTTATCCTAAAAGGTAAAAAAATTCGTGTATTTTTTCAAACAGCAAGTAAGAGTGGGTCGCCCCGCCCCGTACCCGCGCGGGTATTACCCGCCCCGACCCGTAGTAGCGTGGGGTGGGGCATGGATATTGAGGTACCCGCCCCGCCCTGACCCATTGCCATCACTACTCTGAATGGTTGATTGACTTTGGTTATAACGAGCATATCACTATGAAATACTCATTATTTTCACGAAAAGAATTAAATGTCTATGGACAACCAATAAGAATTCCTGCTGGAGCAAGTATTCCTATCAAACATATTGGTCTATATCATTACTATCTGGACTAACTCTTGGATGTGTTCTGCATGTTCCTAAGTTCTTATGCAATTTAGTTTATGTAAGTCGTTTAATGAAGGATAACCGTGTTGCATTAGTTTTCCTTGATGGTTTTCGTGTTATTCAGGACTTACACTCCAAGAAATTGATTGGGAAGGGGGAACTCGGTGATGGACTTTACTACCTTTGGTTATTTGGTAATGGACAAATGGTAGCTTGTACAGTGCATGGCGAGAGCACGGTTCTAGAAGTCACTTGAAATGCTCGATTGGGGCACCCTCGGTAGTAAAGATGCAGCTTCTCAGTCATGTTTTTTCTATTTCTATTAGTTCGTCTAGTGATACTTGGCTTCCTTGTTCAAGGGCAAAACAAAATCGAGATTCATTTGGTTCTAGTATGATTAAAACTCATTCTTGTTTTGAACTCATACA